CAAGTACTGTTGCCCTTGATGACAATAATTTATCTTCTTTCACTGCAAGTGTCATCTGTTCAGATATTATTGGATTCAAGGCACAGATATTTTGGTGATGGAAGCATATGGCTAAGCTAGTTAAGAAAATTCTGTTGAAAAGTAGGAAAAACAGCCTTTCCTTTGCAGAGACTAAGGTTAGAAGATGGATCCTCCAAATCATTTTCTTTTTTAAATTTCCATTAGTATGATTATTAGATGTTGCTATTTGTCAGTTCCATGAAATGTAGAGTCATTTTGAATTTTAAATTTTGCTGCTTTTATCCGGTTTCAGGTCCGTGTGTCAGTTGGTAGTCTTCTAAAAGTTTACTCACCCTAATGCAGAAATTGTGACCTGAAATTGTAAATATATGTTTAGAAATCATCATGATTCACTATCATCATAGTGAAAACTTTGTCATATTTTCTGGGATAAATAAACAAAATGATTTGAGTTATGATTTATCTGATACCAAAAATACCTATCCCAGAGAAAAGTATCACTGACTTCCCCAGTTTCCAGGAACTCAATGAATATAAATTTCTAGTGGTAGAATTCACACACAGAATCACAGAAAGGTTGAGTTTGGAAGGGACCTCTAGAGATCATCTAGTCCAACCCCCCTGCTCAAGCAGGAACACATAGAGCATGTAGCACAGGATAACATCCAGGCAGGTTTTAAAGATGTACAGAAAAGGAAGCTGTTAATATCAAACAGATCTGTGATTTGAGTGAGGTGAAAAGGAGAGTTCTATGAAAATATTCTTTCATGCTCTGGGTAGCTATAACATAAGTATCTTTGAATATGATTCTGTATACGAGTATGATCTCAGAATGTTGCCTTATTTCATTTGGATAAGAGGTTCAGGGTAATTTTCCAAGAACATTATAAAAAACTTAGTCTTCATAATTTCATCTAGCTTCCACAAAGTAGTTTTTCAAGAGCACAATTAAAGTCAGATCAGAATCATTATGGGATATGTTTTCTTTCATAAAGTGGAGAGTGTTATATTACGTTTATTCTCCAAAAGAATTTATGCTGCCAATTAGTCCTGTGTCAGCACATCTGTACAGGCCAGGTGTTTTTTCCACTCCAGAGTCACTTAAATGATCCTGGCAGCTCTTAAATTGGAGTTGTGTTACATGTGACCTATATTGCTTTTGTCAGGTGAGATTTACTGTCAGGTTGTGTTAGTAATATAATTAAAACGCTCACGTTCATTAGCATCTCTAATGTGGCAGATGTTGCCCTCGCCTCAGTTTTGAACAGACTGTTAGGCCAAGTGTGCTCTTCACCTTATTTAAATTACTTGCCACATTTGAAGGTTCCAGTCAATTTACTACAATATTTGGCTTTCTGAATGGATATATTTATTAGTTAATTGCCATGCAGTAAAATTTTGCAAAGCCACCAAGCTCTTCCCATCTGCCTATATAATGGCTGGAGTTCTAGTTTTGGCCCATTTAGAGGGGATATTTCTTACATTTTTAATAACAATCTGTCTTTCCTTCCAGAGCACTTCATCAGCCAATATAAATTATATCTGAAGAATCCTTTTTCTCAATCCAGCAATGTAACCTCTTAGGAGATGAAGTATGGGAGTTATTTTAATGCACTCAGTAAATGCCACAGAGCAAGAAATGAACTGTAATGTTTCCTGTTGAAAACAAGGAGGGATCTTGGATGACCATGACATAAATACCAGATATATGACTGGGCCAGAATACTGGGTTTATTATCTATAAGCTTGTGGAAAGTGCATTGGGATGCTGCAGTCATTCATATCTTTAAAAAAATGTTAGATTTCATGAGACTTGACGTCTTACCAAGACATGCATATTTAGTAGTGACTTGGAGGGAATTGCACAACTAGCTAGATCACTGGCTATGCTGACGTTAGCACAAATTGAGCACATCAGTGGATTTCAGCAATTGGTGCTGAATACTTTGATTTAACCTATATATGTTAGTGAATGGGGGGAAGCATAGGACTAGACCGAATCTAGTCCTCTGGCTTGGATGTTCCTGCCACACTTCACACCCCTCTTGGGGTTTGAAGAGGTTTGGAGGAAAGCTTCCATGAACCTCTGCTTTTCATCTATCTAATGGAATTAGAAATTCCACTAATGGAAATTGTGCCTATTTCTACACCGGCGTGTTCTGCTCCTGCTTGTTTGCCTGTGATCCTGGGGTGCATTAAGAAAAGCATCTCCAGCAGGTTGAGGGAGGTGATCCTGCCCCTCTACTCAGCCCTGGTGAGGCCACGTCTGGAGTATTGTGTCCAGCTCGGGGCCCCACAGTACAAGAGGGAGATGGAGCTGCTGGAGAGAGTCCAGCACAGGGCCACAAGGATGATCAGGGACCTGAACCATCTGCCGTATGAGGAGAGGCTGAGGGAGCTGGGCCTGTTCAGCCTGGAGAAGAGAAGGCTGAGAGGGGACATGATTAGTGTCTATAAGAACCTCAAGGGAGGCAGGTGAGGAGGATGGTGCTGGCCTCTCTCACTTGTGGCCACCGGCAGAACTAGAGGTAATGGCCACAAACAGAAGCACCAAAAGTTCCACAGGAAGTTAAGGAAAAAATTCTTCATGGTGAAGGTGGCAGAACACTGGAACAGGCTGCCCAGAGAGGTTGTAAAGTCTCCTTCTCTGGAGATCTTCAAAACCCACTTGGATGCAGTCCTGTGCCACATGCTTTAGGTGACCCTGCGTGTGCCGGGGGGTTGGACTAGATGACCTCTAGAGGTCCCTTCCGACCTTAAGCATTCTATGATTCTATGTGACATGGTAGAGGCCAACTCTCAAACTATCTCTTAGCCAAGAAATGCCATGAGCCCTGTGCTATGTCTGAAGGGATCTTATCGATGATCATGTCCAGTGTTTGGTTCCCCTTGCTCCATCTCCTCTGTCAAAGCCTCCCACCTGAGGTTAGTTTTAGGCAGTGGGAGTGAAAAGGGTGAAAAAGAGTTTCTGAGAGAGCACCAGTCCTTTGTTTGAATTTTCCACTGAAGTGGACAGAAATTCCTGCTCCATCCCCACTGGATGGCACTGAGCATCCTCTTGGCATTTGCTGTGAGTCTGCTCCATGCTGTAATGAAGTCCCACAGTCCAAACACACTGTTCTTACTACTGAAATTCTTATTGCTGTATTTTAAGGTATCTGCCTCCCCAAAATAGGTATAAAGTGTACTATACATCTGTTAACTGCGTGGTGGTTGTTGTATCTGTATCCCCTAAGAGAACTGTAGCATCAGCTCTTCCCAGCTATAATAGTTAGCAAGTTAATTCAAATGCTTCCAAATAATCTGGAAGCAGTTCACAGAAAGATAATCTTTGCTATTAATAGCCAAGAACTAATCAATTCCTGATGATGCTAGAGTGGAACTGTCATAGCAGCATTTAGGGAGATGGGCAAAATTTCTTAAATTAGAGGGCTCTATTATTATTATATTGCATACATAAAAAGCAAGTGTATTTAAGTGAACTGAAAGGCCTGTCTGTGCTATTACCAGGAAACATCTACTTCTATGCAGATATTTTTAGACCTAAAAGAGCCCTAAATAACTTATGAGTAATGGGATACAGAGCTTTCATTTTTCTTTTCCATTGCTTTAGAGTGAGCACAGGTCTGCTGAAGTGTGTTTACATCATATAGCTGCTCTGCAGCTTATCTAAATCACTTTGATAGTTTGTAGCAGCACATAAAATATTTGTAGCTAAATAGAGAGCAAAAATTTAAAGATTTTGTTAGCAGGTTTGAATTGTCAGGGTAGATAGTTATCTTCATAAAAGCATTTACATAGACTCTACTTCTCGATTCTTTTTAAACTGGTTTGCACTATTTATTTCTGGGCCTAGATTTTTGTTAACATTTGGAAAAGTTTTGAACATGTAATATCTGAGCTGAGGTGTGAATAATTTGCAATGAATAATTTATTTGAGAAACTTCTTTCTCTTCATATTCATGGCTTGTCTGTGAATTGCTGCTATTTTTTCACAAATGTATTTATAATTTAAAATGTCTTACTATTTACTTTTGTGTCATTTTCATAAATTTTGATTTCTATTGGGATTATTATTGCAATACTAGGTAGAAGCATTCTAATTTTATATGTGGGAGCTTCTTTTTACTTGGCTCATTTTGCATTGCTCAGTAGAGTACATTCCTGGAAACAAATTGCATAAAGGACACAAAAAGTATTCAAAGAATCCTCATGGCTAAAAACATTTTAGGACTCTTTAGAGATCTTTCTAAGGCTCGATCTGTAGCAGATCCTGAAAAGAGAGAAAGGAAGTGGGTAGAAATAGGTCACGGAAATACTTAGTCTTTTAGAAAGCTGTGCATAAGCCTCTCTCTGCTGTTGCATAAATTATGGCCTGGAAAATATCTAGCAGGTTCAGATTCCCTGTGGTATCAGAAGAGATTTCCATGTTTTCAGTGACAGCTGACATAGCATGTACTTCTTCATTTCATGGCTGCAGAGCTTCCTATTTAAACTGAGATGAGGAATCTCATTCAGCACACCCCACACCTTGACTCTTGCCATGTGTGGCCTTTTAATTAATTGTGTTTAAATAAGTACAACTATCCCACAGAAAAAATGCAATAAATTGTAGCCATAGCCTCAATTTAAGACCTTTTCCTCTTACGTATGTTAGAGAAAGTAAATCTAAAGGCCCTACAGAAAATTAAATTTTACACTGATTAGCTAGGTTTTTTCATTCCTCGTTTTATTCTTCTGTAAGGCAACTTAGCAATACAGAATGTGGAATTCCTGCCAGGTGCCTATGTAGAATAAAATACTGCAAAGAGGTATCTCTGCTCAGCATTATCTTTACATATACTGTGTTTGCTTCAAGAATCCTTTTAAGAGTTCACAAATCTGTGTAGGGTGAGATTCATAGCTTGTTCTCTATTCACAGAAATAAAACTTCCTTTCTTACTGTGGCACCAAAATTAAAAGTGCCTATAACAGTGACTTGGCAAATTAATTTCTCCTTTCCCAGATATGCAATGAAAATCTCTGAAGATCAGCTGTAATTTACAGGTACAGCTCCATAACTACAGGTGCTAGCTGGGCCCCTCTTGCAGCAACTTTTGAAAGATATTTGTATTAATAATTATTTTTTATCTTCTGTTCTTGCACTGATACATCACAAGTGATGTAGTGAATGCATCCTTTTGTTTCTCCTATCCTCCCATAATTGGGTAACTGAGCAATCTAGAGCGTGATAAAGTGGAGTCACTGCTTTTTCATTTACTTCTCAGCTAAATGCCTACCTGTTTTCTTGCAGAATCCATCAAAAGTGGTGCAAGTCTGTGCCCTTAGCTCTAAGCATACACTAAGGGTAAAGGCATAATATAACTCCATATGTTTACTAATAGCTGTAACAGCTTCCAGGCAGTAGCACAGAGATCAGGTGAAAAATATGATGAATTCTTAAATAAATGCTTTACAAGACAACTGAAACAGAGAATTTGACTTAAAAAATATTAAAAGAGTCATGTCATTCATTTTAATGTTGATCTGAAAGCACTCTTGAGTAATGAATGAGAGAATTGAAGCATGTTTTCCTGCTTACCTGTCAGGTTAAAATTAAACCAGTAAGATAATTTCAAAAAAAATCTTCTTTTGATGCCAGCAATCACCTTGTGGTTACTTCTCATCCTACCTAAGCTAAATAGGTGTTAAGAAGAAGAAACTTCTATGGAGGGAAAAAAATAGTAAATAAGTGTGAGACATAAGATAAACAGGTGCAAGAGTTAATGTGGATGTCTGAGTTATTTGAGTTGTGACTAGAAAGTTCTTTGCCTCATAGCAAGGTATATAAGTTTCTGCAGGAGTATGATAGCAAATACCAAAAAAAGGGGCAAATAAAACCCCACGGTTATAGTCTCAATGAGGTTTCATGACGAAGCTATTTACCACGCTTGTTTTATTGTCACTTTTTTTTTTTCCGGGATGAAATGTAGGGAAGCATATTATATTTGACTTTTACTTGAAATTTGAAAGATCAAATCATAGCACAATTGGGCCAAGAAATTAAAGGAATAAAGAGCTTTTGTTTCAAAATCACTTAAAATTATTTATTTAGAGTTACAACTGGGACTTTGAAGCTACTCCAGCAGCAAAAGAAAAGAGCAAAACCTGGATAAGTCATTCATTTGAGTTTTTTGAAAAATCCTTTCTTTTCAGTTATGTATTCATGTGTTAATTTTTGGAGAAAAAGATATGAAGAAAATCAAGAGCAATCTTGTTACCTAAAAACTAATCCTTATGCTCTCCATTCTGCAGATCTGTTGCAGAAGCCACAGAGGTTGATCTCAACATGCGAGTTGGACTGCACACAGGCAGGGTGCTTTGTGGGGTCTTGGGTCTACGGAAATGGCAATATGATGTCTGGTCAAATGACGTGACTTTAGCCAATGTAATGGAAGCTGGAGGATTGCCCGGGTAAGTCTGAGAGGGAAGTGCAGACCCATGTGGGTGAAGAAGTTATTTTGTTCTGTGAAGCATTTTGCAGTTTGATTGCTGTTGATAAGAAAGGCTGTCTTAGGTAAGAGCTTTCGTTGTGTTATGTGGTATCTCCTGTAGAAGTCTCCAAGTGGTCTTGATATTTGTTAGTAATAGATTAGACTATATGTAAAATATTTTTTAAAAAAAGTTTGCTTAATACATAAGCATTCTCCAAACAAAGACTTTGTTTGAATCTGCCAAAATTAAATGGTAAGAATGATATACAAATATATATGCCTATATGTATGTGTTCATGTGTACAAATACACACACACTCAATTATTCAAAATGCAGGTGCAAATCACACACTCGCCCAAAAACTTGTAGAAATTGTTGGACATGTTGGAACATGTCTTGAGATTTTAAGTACCCTTTGGATGCCATTTAGATGCACACAGTGCACTTTTGTAGAGGTACATAGTATGCTTTTGCGTGCAACTCGCTCTCAGAATGGCACATACCATTCTCTGTTCAATTTTTACAGGATAATGTTCTGCTGAACAGGAGGAGAATAGACTCTCTTAATTTTTGTCATTTAGCGAGTGACAAAGGTATATACATACATATTTGTCTCAGACAATTTTGGCAGTGCATTTTTGTATGCTCCTTACATCATTAGGCTACCTAGTGGGGGAAAAAAAAAAAAAAAAGAGCACATGTGTAATAGAGAAAAGCAGTGATAGTTTTTCATATATTTTCTGGGAAGAAGTTTCTTGTACAATGGGTCTTGTGGGAGAAAGTGTGAAGACGACTGTCTTCAGGGATCTCGGGGATAAGGAAACTCATGAATTATATCAAAGATGGCTGTGCTGCCAAAACTCAGTGGATTAGAGGGCAGAATAAATGAATAAAAGCCAAAGCTGTGAAGGGGATTAGAGAGGAATAGGAAAATTTACCTTTATGTGCCAGAAAAAGAATGCAGAGATTGAGAGCAAGAAGTCACAAGTTTCGAACAGTAGGGTGCTATCCCAAGCATGCAGCTGGCTAAACACTTGAGAAAACATCTAAATGCAGAAGATGATCTGCAGGCCTGCACTGTTTAAAAATCAACATTTTGGCAAGTTTTTGGACAGCCAGCAGTTATATATCTTTGCTCAAAGTATCTGCTTAATTTTAGAAAATGTGTATAAGAAAAATACTTCTGTTTCCTAGTTGGCTGAGAACAGAGACCTGATCTACAACAACAACAACAAAAATTTCTTCTTATTTTTCTTTTCACAAGGTAGTTTTACCTTGTGATAATCTTCTGCATTGGAATGTATTTCGGTAGCAATTAGATCATAATGTATCTTTTCTTTAAATGACAACATCCAATTTTTCTCTGCAGGAAAGTTCACATAACAAAGACCACCTTAGAGTGCCTAAATGGGGACTATGAGGTAGAACCAGGATATGGCCATGAAAGGAATAGTTTCTTGAAGAAGCATAATATTGAAACATTTTTTATTGTGCCATCCCATCGGAGGAAGGTAGGCTCTAAAATTCTAGTTTAGTCTCTGATATAATTTCATAGTTTAACAACTTAAAGCAGAAGCAATACTGGTATTTCTTAGTTTTGCAAGTTTTACAAACTCTTGAAATTCGACTTTTTGGTTTTGATTGGCAAGGCTAAAAATGTTCTTCTTGAATTGTACTTAGAGGAGATGATTGATCTACTTTGAAGCTTAAAAATAAAGCTATTGGTTTATTCAGATTCTGTAACAATTTTCTCAAAAACGCTATGTGGCAAAAGTGTTACTCCAACATCTTAATTCATTAAGTTCCTTCCACCTCCCTCTACAAGAAAGTTTCAGAGCACTAATGCTGACAATTTGGCTATTATTCCTTACTCTTTCTTTCCCATATTCCCATCCCCATCTTTTTTTCCTATGGGTGTTTTAAAATTCTCATTCAGACTTTCCTGACCCTTTCTACAATCACTTATAATACCAGTGTCCCATTTCCTGTGCCTGAAGGAGTTCCAAGTGAACAGAAGCAGAAAAAAATAGCATTTACAGTCATGTCATGCCCACAGCAGAAAAGTTAGTGAAATGAGTTCATCAGTGATTGAAGTATTATCCCCTAAAAGCATGAGAAAGTTTACCCGTAAACTCTACTGACTAGCTTATTTATCTAGGTGGGAGGAAAAGACTGGAGTTAACCAGGCTGCTTTTGGGTGTATGTACCAGTGTACAATGGATCAGATGTTCTTGCTGATGTAGGGCCAACTTTCTAAGATTACTGCAACAAATTATATATTCTATGTCTGCAACATGGATGTGTTCTCTGCTGATAAACTGAGCTGCTCATGAAGACCTGAATCTACAGTTTGGTAAACCCTTTCCCATTGTAATTGTCCTTTCTACCATATTTTCTTAAGCTCCCCTTCTTTTGTCAGAGCCTTGGAGATGTACAAAGGAAAGATGAGTAAGTCAGTGCTGCTGTGGAGGGATAATAATATTTTCTGCTCTCTTTTTCTTTTTGATGGAGAACAGAAAATGGAAAGTATGAATAGAATAAAGAGAAGATTTTAGTTCATTTGAGCAGGAATTTCCCTTTTCAGATGTTGCTCATCACACCTGATGGATGTGTCTCTTGCTCTAGCCAGATTTTTAAGGTTAAGATGAATAGAGGCCGAGCAGTGTGATGGTAATTTCTTGAGTCTCAGCATGTGGTGAACTTAGTGACAGCCCTGTTTAAACAAGATCATGCACAGTCACACCTTTCTTTCGAAGCCAGTAACCAAGGGCACCTCAAAAGTAAATTCTAAATAGGGTGGAAATTTCACCCCATTGGAATTGCCACTGCAAGCAAGCAGTCAATGATCCTGTTTGTGACAATCTTTTATTCTGCTACGAAAATATTTTGTGACTTCACTAGGAGCCTAGAAAATCCATCATCATCACTTAAACATGTTCACTTGGATCCAACATTTTCCGCATTATATGAGGCTTATCTCACAAGCCATCTTCCATAACATGTTTACAGGTCAAGAAGAATTTTATTACTCTTTATCTCTGACTCTGTCAGACAAGCTGGGATACAGTTTTCTGCACTCTTATCTTCTGAGACTTGGGCCAAACACATTTCTTTTGGAGATTTGACCTTTAGGGGGCAAATTATAATATTGATTTGTAAAAGCAAATATGAAAACAGTAAAGAAGAGGTTTTAAAATCATGTTAAGACTCCATGCTTGAGAGTGTTAGCCAACTTTCCATTGATTAGTGTTTGACATAAATGCGACCACTGGAAGCTTTGGGGGGATGTGAGGAATCCAGCAGTTAGAAAACTGAGCTGGAAACAGAGAATATTGAATTCGAGACCTAAAGTCAGTTTTCTGGTCTCAGCTTGATGACTCAGAAAAGCTGGGGTGAACTCTTCAAGGTGTTTGAATTGGGTAGCAAAAGCTTCTGATGTTTTATCCTGGAAGGGCTGTTGCAAGGGCTTTTTATGCACTTTCTCCAAAACATTTTTTTTATTGGAGAGACAGAGTATTCTCAGCAACTGTGAAAATCATATAATCTCATGGTTTGTTCTCCTGCTGGCATATATGACTAGATTTGTTTTTACATATTATGAAAGAAAGTAGGCCATGTTACTCTAGGATCACTGGCTGTATTCTGTTTTTGTGAAACCAAAAGTAGTTCCTAAAATAAACAACACTGATATGGAAGAAAAAGTAAGGAAGGCATTAAAGAAATGAGGTAAGTAAGAAGGGAGGTTGGTTGCTTATCACTGCTAGATTTGCTTCTCTTGCTTCTCTGCTGCTTTCACTCCTACTGTATTATATTTAGGATTTCATCTCATATTGAGACAAGAAGTAAGAATGGAATTTTGGAAGAGTGTTGATAGGTTGGTTGACAGAGATAAGTAGAGAGGAGCAGGTAAACACAGCTATTACATAGAAAACCTCTCCTCTGTCAGCTGCACTGTATAAAACTGTAATGGAGGAATTTATGCTGAATACTTTCACATATCTAAGTAATCTAGGCCAATATATGTTTTATTTCCAAGTATGAAGGCTAATAGTAGGTGAGCATGCATTTCTCCATCTTTGGGAGGAACATGGTGACTTCTGAGAAATGACTCATCAATTTGTCTTCTACTGCAGAAGTCAAGTGTCCTCTTCCTTGTTACAGTGCTGCTGATTGATTCATGGAAGCGGCATGCCACACAGCTTGGCTAGCGGCATTAGCTCTCTGGTATGCATTAGTGGAGTGCCTGGGAAATGGGCAGGAAAAAAACACTTCATGAATTTTGTACTGACTGGCTTCTCCACTGGACTTGCAGATCAATCAATATGTCACTTTGCAGTTTGTCACAGTACATCACAGCCTTCCCTAGTCTCTGCACATCAGCATACTGATTGTGAACTACAAGCTACTAATAAATACATTCATAATAGTGTGTTTACCTTCAAAATAAACACCTGCTGTCCCCTCAAACCTTGATTCAACAATTAAATCTTCAGAGGTGTAGAATCAGAAGGCTTCCCCTGAAGCAACACAACATTGCGCATCTTTAGGTAAATTCAGGCATTTCTTCCTCTGTAGCCTCAGTAGCTGAAACACAACCACATTTCTTACTCTTTATGCATCATCTCTGACATTAATATGAACTGACTTCAGCTGGTATGATGCCAAGAGGAATGAAAATCAATGTTATCAGCAGCAGATGGCCAAGAATCTGTTGAATTTGAAAGGTAAATAGGCTCCTGCTAGATTTCTTTTTTTTCCAATTTAGAACATACTCCATGTTCTTCTGTATTTGGTGTGAAAGAGTTGGTCTTTCATCATAAAGATCATCTAAACCAAGAGGAGAATAACAGTATATGAAGACTCATTCATATACTGGTTACATTTTAAATGTGAGCAAATTATAAAATATTCACAACTTTCAATCCTTTTATTAAAAACACTAACAACCAGAATTTTGTGGTCTAATGTGATTGTTAGCTTGGTATATAGGCTAGCAAGTGAAAAGGCACTTAAGAATGGCCCTGAGAGAGTTTTTATTTTAGTAGTTCTTTTTTATTTTGCTACAATTTTTATTTTGTTGGAGAGGATATTGCTCTGTTATTCAGCAATAATCAGGCAAGTTTGACTGGCTAGCATTCAGTTTCTAAACCCAATGAAATAATTCATCTGATTTCTAAAGGTATATATAAGGTTTTTGCTGGCCTTCATAGTTTAAAAACTCACGCAAAAGCATTTTTAAGATGCAATACAATGGTTTAAGTCTCTGCCAATGCTTCTTGTTATGAAAATGCCATCACATTTCTTTAAGTAAAGTTTAATTATTTCTTCATGATGTTGTATACCGATCCCAAATATCTTCAGCATGTGACTAAAGTACTGTACTGGTACGAGGTTTGCAAGATTTGGTAAATATAACTAGTCACAGGTCTGAACACACACACACACATCTTGGACATTTAAAGCAGGTCTGATGATGTTACTAAAAAAAAACCCCACACTTTCTCATAAGATCTAAACTCTGCTATACATTATCTGCTTGGACATTCTCTTTGTTTTCAAAACATTCTGTCTTTCTAAAGTACTGGGAAGGTTACACTATAGGGATGTTATTTCAGAAGGGAAAAAAAAATAAATAAATCTAGGCCATGTCCTGTGAGCCTCAGAGCTCCTTACAAGAATTCTCCACCTCCATTTAGACCCAGCTAAATAACTTTCTCCATTTAGACTTCGTCAGTAGCCTGACTTATCCTGTTCTGACTTCCAAATTATGTGCTTAGATTTAATTTGAGATTGGCTCTGGCTTTCACCATAGTTCTGTGTTTAATTCCCTGGTCTTTGCCTAGTTCCACTGGTGGTGGTCACTGCATCTTCGCCCTCTGGCATGTCTTCAAGCTGATTCCCAGGTGCACAGCTGGACTCAAGCTTAGCTGGACCATCTACTTAAGCTATAGGTATAGTGGCTGAGGGAAGCACCATTGTCTGGCAGTATAGCATCTACTAAAGCTTGGCCATGACCTCAGCGATAACCAGGTGGTTTTGTTCTTGTTCTTCTAACTTGTTTGTATTTGTTGCTGGAATTCTCTCTCTGCCGATACCTGTATTGTTTTGAAAAGCCATCTTAATCTCACTAGCTGACAAAACAGCCTAGCAGGGTTTGTTATGTGACATTCCTAAGATGTTTTTTCAGGTAACCAAGCAGCAGGCAGAAATGATGAAATTTTAGTGTGGCGAAAGATCTTTCAGGATGTTTTAATATTAAATAATTTAATATTTAATAATAAATATTCATTTACAGAAATTTCACCTGCCATCACTATTACTCATTGCTAGGTCGAAACAACCAGCTTCACTGAATATCTTTGCTGGCTTCAGAGCTAAGGCAAAGACAAATAATCCCATTGACTATTAACAGGAAGCAATAGGGTGTGTCTGGGAAAGGGACTGTAAATATTATAAAAATCACATGTAAACAGTGCAGGGACATTTTATAAATCACTCCTGTATGTTCATA